AGCAGCAAAAGGGTTAAAGGGTAAAGAAAGGTTCCTACAAAGTTTTCTTACCTTTTCATACCTAGCCCACCTAGGTAGGTATCCACCCTGCTCTCACCTCTATTCTTACCTAGATCCCATCTCAAGGCCCACAACATTGTTTTCAACTTTCCGATGGCTTCTTGATATGACATCCGCATCTGCACAGTCCAGTCGCATCGCCTTCCATGGGGTTGGTAGAGGGATCAGGATCCCGGGATCAGAGGGATCATCTGATTAATCTGCCAGCTTCAAAGACCCCTATGGATGCAATCTACACAGGTGTGGATGTCGGATCAAGTGGAGGGATGTAAACTATTCTGCAAGCCTTGGAGTAGGATCTAGGTAAGTTAGCAAATTGGGGGGGGGGGGGCTAGACTTGTGTAGGAGGCTGAGGGCAAAAGGTTAAGAAAGCTTGGGAAAGTCTCCTCACCCTTTAAAGCTGAATTCTGGGGGGGGGGGGGAAATGTACCCTTGCAGTGAGTCCCAGTCCTCACTACCTGGGTTAAAGGCTCATTTTGTTCAGAGGGATGATTAATAAGGTGTACTATGAACTTTATTCCTTGATTTTATACAATGCAGAACCATCACATGTGCATTGTACAGGGGAAACACCAGGGGTCTGCCCTCAACCGGGAGCGTCAGGCAGCAAAGAAGAGAACTGGCTGGAGTGATCAAGGAATAAGGTAAGTATATAATTTTTTTTACATTGTCCCCAAGGGATCCACTACAAGGGTAAATACTTATAGATATAATAGTTGAGCTTAATAACTGCACACATTTTTGCAGAAGAAAATGTGCTTTTATTATTTTTTCCCATGCCCCTGTATGGTCTTTCAGTTAGAAAACTGAAGGAAGATTCAGTGGACTAAAATTACGCTGATTAATGCAGACATAGTCTATTGAGAATTGAAAGCTGTCTGCTGAAGTGGAAGATGGGACTTATAGTTTATTTACAGGTGCATAGCAGAGCCATACAAAGCAGTGCGCGTACAGTGAAGCACACACACAGTCCCCATAGTGAAACAGCACACAGTTAACCCTTTGATCGCCCCAGATGTTAACCCCTTCATGCCCAATGCCATTAGTACAGTGTCAGTGCTTTTTATTAGCACTGATCACTGTATTGGTGTCATCGGGGATGTCAGTGACACCAACTCAGTCCCCCCCCAGTGTCAGAATGCCCACCACAGTCCCATAGTCCCGCTAAAGGTTGCTGAACGCCGCCATTACTAGATTCCAGTATATACCACCATTTGTAAATGCTATAACTTTCACGGAAACCAATTCATTTACACATTTTTTTAAAAGCAAAGACATATAGCAGAATACCTTTTGGCCTAAATTTATGACGAAATTTGATTTTAAACATTTTTTTACTGAACATGTTTAATAGCAAAAAGTCACAAATATTGTTTTTTCTCAAAATTGTCAGTCTTTTTTTCTTTATATAGCGCAAAAAATAAAAAATGCACAGGCGATCAAAAACCACCAAAAGAAAGCTCTATTTATGGGAAAAAAGGATGTAAATTTCATTTGGATGTAGTGCTGCATGACCGCGCAATTGTTAGTTAAAATAACACAATACCGTATTGCAAAAAATGGCCTAGTCAGGAAGGGGGGTAAATCCTCTGGAGGACAAGTGGTTAAACTTGCACAAATCACTAAATTTTCCTTTGTGCTTCTTGAATACATACTAAATATAATTTTAAATACATATTATTGTTATTGTTATTATTATTAATATTATTATTATTATTATTATTATTAATAATGTTATGTTAATAAAAAATAATAATAATAATAATAATATAAACTGCATAGCGCATTTGAAGGGTATTTGGACTACTATACTTGAATAGATCATGTAGGTCTCTTTCTGTCTATGATTTACTTTCTGTTTTCAGTCGTATCCACACACCCTTTTTCTAGTGCCTGGAGCTCTTCACCAAACAGCATGCTTGGTAGCAATCAATGGAGAATGACAAGAAAGATGATCCCATTCTAGTGTCCTATTTTCACACGCATGTCAAAAGCAGCCCTGGTGATGATGGGGTTAAGCCAAGTTCCACGCAGCTACTGTAGACTGAAAAGGACACTTCCTCTCTGACAATTTGTAAATCTCTTAAGAGAGGCTCAACATATGTTGTATTGTAAAGAGAGTCCCCACTAAATGGCGTTTAAACTCCCACTTCGGGAAGACTTTGAAAGCTGGACAACCTATCAAGTTGCTGTTCTTTTAAAGCAGGTAAGAAGGGTGCTGGGTACTCATCGATGTAAACTGCTGACACATGGGAGAAACTGCCCAAAAAGCATTGAAAAAGAATATAGCTGTCACACTGACGCTTTGTACAGTATAACTATTATTTTGCTTAAAGGACCAGTCCACCCCAAAGTGGAATCCTAGTTTTTGGTAGGTGCTGTGGCCTTAGACCACCTAACAATTTTCTTTTATCTCTTCAAGACTCTATTGGTGAGATCTCTGTCTTGAGTTTTCTGAGTCTGCACATCAGCTGTAGCTCTTAGAAGAGGTTTCCCACTCTTCCTATTGGATTTTGTATTTTATTGATTTATATGGAGAATGCAACAGATGGAGCTGGAACATGCAAAGCTGGGCAGAAGCACCCAAAACTGAGATGGGCAGGAACAGGCTCTGGAATTATAGCAGGAAGATTTCATTGCTGGGCTATTCAAGACAGTTAAAAGACGGGAACTGAGGCTCCACCTATAACTAACATAACACTTTTGGGTGGAATGGTCCACAAAAAGCTGTTTACAAATAAAAACACCAAATGTAGAACTAGCAAAAAATTGGATATTTGGTTTTATAATTCTAAAGTATCAAAACTTAGAGGCATACAAGTAGTAGTTAGATTTCAAATAGATTCTGAATTCAAAGTAAGTTATGCTTCAATAAATGATCGATTTATTTTCCAATCAATCTTTTCTGATCAATAATCGATCTATAGTCAACTAGTCATTTGATCAAAATGCCACACAGGAGGGGGGGATGATTTCAATCAATTGATATGAACAGAATTTATGATCATAAGTCATCGATTGCATCTCTTCATTTTCCAACTTGGCCAATTGACTTAGTTTGAATGAATCCAAACAAAATTGAGTTCATATCGGGAAAGAAGAGTTATGGCAATTTTAGGCAGATTTGATCTTTTCCATCAAATCACTGATCAATTGGATAAAAACATTGAAACATGTAGCCACCATTAGTTTTCACTCATAATACCAACTTTTCCTGATATTTCTTCACTATCGGTGATCTCACACTTTCTTTATTTTTATTGTCATATACTCTTATTCTCTACTACATACCAAGGACCCATTCACACCATGGCAGTGCAATAGGGCACGTGCATTAACTGCTTTCCCACCGCCCTATAGCAGAAATACTTCTACAGGGCTGCATGTGCAAAACACATATATTTATATATTATTTATTTATTATAATTATCGGGAGTTTATATAGCGCCAAAGGGTTTGCTCAGCGCTGTACAATAGGAGAGGGGGACAATACATGAAACAGTACAGTAACATCAAACAGCACACAAGGGGTAAGAGGGCCCTACTCTTTCGAGCTTACAATCTAGGAGGGAGGGGTAGAGGTACAGGAGGAAATGGCTGTGGGGGATGGAGTGGAAGGAGGAGGGAAGGGCAGCGGCTGTTAGGTGAGGGTGGGGTAGGCTTCCCTTTAAGGTCAATTTTCAAGGTGACAGTCTGATGGGTTGGGGTAGTGAGTTCCAGAGGATGGGGGAGGACCTGGAGAAGTCTTGCAGTCGTGCGTGGGAGGAGGAGACCAGGGAGCATGATAGAAAGGTCCTGTGAAGAGCGAAGGGTAACGGGTAGGGTGGTATCTGGGAATCAGGTCGGTGAGGTAGTTAGGGGCAGTGTTGTGAATTGGCTTTACAGAGTGAGCAGTTTGAATTTAATGCGTTTGGGCAATGGGAGCCAGTGGAGGGGAGAGGCAGAGGGGGGTGGCAGAGGTGGAGCGGCTGGTGAGGTGGATGAGTCTGGCAGCTGAGTTCAGGATGGTCCTGAAGCGGGGGTGAGATTTGCACTGGGGTAGGCCGGTGAGGAGGGAGTTGCAGTAGTCAAGGCGTGAGATTTCAGGGAGTATTAGTTTAGTGGTGTCATAAGGAAGGACGTATCTTGGAGATGTTTTCCGGAGGTGGAGCCTGCATGAGTTTGGTGAGAGATACCATGAGGGTTGAAAGGAAAGGTTTGAGTCCAGAATGACGCCCAAGGACCTTGGCTTGCGGGGCGGGGGATTTGATTGTGGTGTTTGTTGGTAGTGATGAAAGGATGGGGGGGGGGGGCACGGGAAGGGGGGGAAAACCATTGACGAAGAGAAGCTCGGTTTTGGAGAGTTTGAAGTTTGAGGAAATGGAGCGACAATCCATTCAGAGATGTCGTTTAGGAGGTGAGTGATGCGGGCGGAGCAGGTGAGGGGTGGATAGGTAGATTTGAGACATCATCAGCATAGAGGTTCTAAGCAGTGGCTGGAGGTGTAGATGGAGAAGCTGAGCCCTGCAATAGAGAGGGGGAGGGAAGAGGATGTGGCGCCGTTGTAGCACGCTGCATTGGGATAGAGAACCAGGATAGAGCGGTGTCCCATGCCAAGGGAGAGTAGTTTATTAAGGAGGAGGGGGTGGTCGACTGTGTCAAAGGCCGCAGAGAGGTCTAGGAGAAGGAGGACAGAGTAGTCGCCTTTGGCTTTGGCGGTTAGTAGATCGTTGGTGATTTTGAGGAGGGCAGTTTCAGAAGTGTAGGGACGACGTGTAGGGAAGACGGAAGCCGGACTGTAGTGGGTCAAGGAGGTTGTTGTCAGTTAGGTGGGCGCTCACTCACATATATATATATATATATATATATATGTGTGATTTTGCATTTCTGGGTAAGGGGCGCATGCCCTACCCACACCGCCATTGGCAGCCTCAGCTGTTCGATCACCGAGTCCTGGCCAGTGATTCCCCACCAGCAGCTGGTAATCAAAGTATCACTGATGGGGGAGAGACCTCTAAGCAAACAGTAGATCTCTCCCTTGTCAGCTCCTGCACATGGCTTTGTATTGCTCAAGCAATGTTCTGACAAAGGAAAGCACACACACACATCACACTGTAAAACAGCACACAGTTAACCCTTTGATCACCCCACATGTTAACCCCTTCCTGCCCAGTGTCATTAGTACAGTGTTGGTGCTTTTTATTAGCACTGGTCACTTTATTAGTGTCACTGGAGATGTCAGTGACAATCATTTCCCCACGAGTGTCACAATGCCCACCGCAGTCCTAAAGTCCCACAGTCCCAAAGTCAAAACACCTTGATTGAGTCATTGCAGCATTGCTGTAAGCTTGCCGATTAATTTCAATTCTCTGTGACAGAGTTGCTCAGTTTCACGCAGAATTTCACATTTGCTCTTTGTTCTAACTTGCTGTCAATGATGAAATAGCAGACGTGGCAACACACATGGTCAGAATAGAACCAGATGCACAGCTCCTGATGGTCACAGGACGATGTCTTTTGGCACACTTATGAAGGTTGGTGCTCCCTGTGACTGTGTGCGCAGCCTTGTGCTGCAATCTGTTGGCATGTTACAAAACTAGTCTCAAAACGTATTGTTACCACCTTGTACATTGTAGCTTTTATTGAATTGCTAAACATTACAAAAATTCATGAGAGCGCTGATTGGATGCCAATCAGCTGCTGGTTTTCTTGAAACAAGGACCTGTACAAATGGGCTGAATGTCGGACAGTATCTACTGTACCAGCTGATTTTGGCCAATATTTAGCCCATGTGTACAGGGGCCAAAAAACTCTCAAGCCAAGGAGAAAGCTCCACAAACATGGTATTCAGCTATGGATGCACAGGTAGCAAGGATAAAAGGCCCAGCTGGAGATAAACATGGTGGCAGGACGTGGTTGGACTTAACCACTTCTCCCTGTCTGGCCGTTTATATACATGGGACAGGAGCAGTGCAGGAGCAGGTTGTAGTTCATAAATGGCGCCCGCATTTTCAGCCTGTGCGTGCTCCCTGGGAACGCGTGGCACCGTGATTCGGTGCCAGACACAGCGGAACACTGATTGCTGTATGGGACCTCTGTGTGAGGTCCCGTTCATCTGATCACTGATTGGCCAGTCAGTGATCACATGCAGAGTAGTAAGCAAGATGTCACTTCCTGACATCACTGCTTAATAAGTGTGAAATCTGTGAATGATCACAGAGGTCACATGGTAGAAGGCTATTCACAACAGCCTTGTACCATGTGACAAGCTGTGACCAATCACATCTCACACAGTATTTCTCAATGGCTTCAAGAATACAGCCAAAGAGAAGGAGAAATTACTGCTTTTACAGCATTTATGGGTGTAAAAGCAATCAGTGTAAAAAAAGAAAAAAATCTTCATCACCCCCACAAGTAGTACAGTGTCACTATGGTGACACTGTACTGCTAGGCTGACAGTATGTTAAAAAAAAATCATAAATAATAATATGAAAAAAAAAAAAATGTAAAAAACAAATGTGAAAAATTATACTTTTTGGTTATAAACTAATTTGGGTTATTTGTTTTACCAAAAAGGTAGATTAATACATTTTGGCCAAGATTTATAAAGAAAGATTATTTATTTGCAAAATTTTATAAGAAAAAACTTTTTTCAAAATTTTTGGACTTTTTCATTTATATAGCAAAAAAAAATCCCAGTGGTGAATAAATACCACAAAAATAAAGTTTAATCTGTCTAAAAAAAAATGCTAAAAAAATTCATATGGGTACAGTGTTGCATGACCGCGCAATTGTCATTCAAATGTGATAGTGCTGAAAGCTGAAAAGTGGCCTGGGCAGGAAGGGGGTAAAAGTGTCCGGACTGGAAGTGGTTAATTACATGGTTGGTTCATTACGCAGTTGAGAAGGGGGAGCATAGGTTAGATGAGTTAAATACTGTCAGGAAACTTTGATGACATGTTCTCTTACCATTTATACATATCTCCCACCCAGGGGCGGACTGACCATTCGAGCACTCGGGCACTGCCCAAGGGCCTGGGGTCAGTAGGGGGCCCCATGAAAAGCCCCTGGTACCTTTTATAGGCTTTTTTGGGTGTGCTTTGAGTGTGAGCAAGGACACAGGGGCCCCATGATCCCCTATTGCTGGGGGGCCCCATGAGTTGTCAGTCCGCCCCTGCTCCCACCTTTCTGAGTTGGTAAAGAGGGACACCTATTACCACATGTATGAAGGCATAGGATGCATCCCTTACCACGTCCCCTTACAAGGAGAATTAAAACACAAAGAATGAGTGGGTAAACCCACATGCTTTTTTTTTAAAAAGTACAAATACAACAATTTAGACATTGAATGAAAGGTTTAGCACTGTAAAACACTTTTTTTATAGATAAATAATGCATTTTAATACAGGTATATACATCAGACCCAAATGAGGGACAAATGAGGAAGAAAGAAGGACAGAGGGACTTTGTTCCGAATGAGGGACGGTCCCTAAAAATCAAGGACAAGTAAAAGCTATGATTGATATGTTGTTCATAGTTAAGTAGTGGCTGCCTCCAGCTGGTATTAGTGACCCCCGGATCACATCTATGAGGCCATATAGGGCACGTTTTGCACAGGCACAAGAGCCATTCATTTGAATGGACTCCTGTGCCCGTGATACTCAGGGAAGAAGTCCCTGCACTTCTTTGGAAAATGCAGCCCGCACGGGAACCTCGGTTCCCAGTATGGTTGCGTTTCCCAGTGCAGGCGGTGTGCCATTAGAATTAATGGCACGCGCCCGCGGGTCTGCATTTCCCTGTGCGGGTGGTGCAGCTGCACAGATTTTCGTGTGGATCCACAATGGCACCACCTGCACAGATGTGAACCTATGGTGATTGTCTGAGGTTTAATAGCACACAGCACTTCATCTGTCTTCAGTTCTGACACTAAAACAAACAAAACATATTTGGTATTGTCTATACTTCAGTCTGTTTGCCTTTAGTAAATCAACCCCAGTGTGTTAGGTAGGATAGTGAAGTATACACAATACCAAATATGTTTTGTTTGTTTTAGTGTCAGAACTGAAGACAGATGAAGTGCTGTGTGCTATTAAACCTCAGACAATTACCCTAGGTTCACATCTGTGCAGGTGGTGCCACTGCGGATCCGCACGAAAATCCATGCAGCCACACCACCCACACAGAAGAATGCGGACCCGCAGTGGCACCACCTGCACAGATGTGAACCTAGGGTAATTGCAGGTGCTCCAGAGCTTAGTAAATTAGGAGAAGCTCTGCTGACTTCCATCATCCAATCACGTGCAAGCAAAAATGCAGTTTCTTTTTTTCCTTGCACATGATTGGGTATGCTTTGTAAAGTGAAGCTTCACCTCATTTATTAAGCTCTGGAACAACTGAACTTACAAAGTGCATAGTCTATTTGTCTTTACTAACCCAGCAGTCTCCAGTCTACCACAGATGTGGAGTTATTTGGTACAGTGAATCATATATACAGGACAACACTTGCATTCGTTTGGGTTTAGCTGCTTGCATGTAAATCAGCAGGTGTCCTTGTATGAACCTGTATATTCCTGTTAGTATTTGAATCTACTCCACTGTATTTCGTAGAGATATTTTTGTAACCTGTGATTGTGTATTACTTCACACCGCCATATATTGACACATTTTGGGCAATGGCAGGAATAGCTGCAGACATCACGCCTTGGTGGCAATAAATTCTCAGTTCTAGGCTTTCAATGTGTAAATATTGCATTACGGATGGAATCAAGCAGTTGTAGAATTTGTCACATAGGACATAGGTAGTGATTGTGACCTGAACTGTAGAGGGTGTCCAGTCCCTTCATGGATGGGCATTGTGAATCCATGTTCACCGTAAAGCCGCATCTTGCCAGGGGACATTTCATTTCCTCCATGCCGCATTCTGTGTCTCGCATCTCCCTGTGTTTCTGCCCTGATAACACCCGCCTCAGCTGTTACTTCACTTTTCAGCAGATGCTGGAGAGTTACACAACTTCACAGTTTCTTCTATCACTAAACAACTTGAATTTGCAAAGATACGCAGGAAAACCTAAGCCTCCCAAATGACGCTGAGTTCAGATCCTGTTTTTGGATCCTCCAATACATACAGTATAAGGGCTCATGTACACGGGGCGTTTGAAAAACGTTTCTGAACGCTGGAAACTGACTGCTAGAAAATGTAGGTTAAAAACGTCCATTTAGCCGCGTTTATCTACCAAGTTTATGAGCATTTATGCACGTTTAGCCGCGTTTAAGCGTTTTTAAAAGATAACCTCAGGAGACCCTCCCAAATGCCCAGAATGCACTGGAAAATATTAAATATTATTTCAGACATTTTGTGAGAAATAGAGAGAGCAGAAGCAGAGAGAGCACTACTTTCTGATGGGTGTTGCAACTGTAGCAAAAGTGGCTCGTGAACCATTCTTGCCACTGTGGGAGGAGCTACATAGTGCTGTAATGCTTGCGGATGCATTCTGGAGTGCAAACAACACTCCTTGTGCTTTTTTGGTGCATTTTGATGTGTTCCAGTACAGTTCTGTGCAGAAATAATGCAGCACGTTCTACCATTTTTTCCTGCATGCGAAACCTGGAACTGACTGTACTGGTGTACTAGGTCCATTTGAATACATGGAAAACGCTGTGCATGCATTTTTGATGAAGAAAAAAGGCACTGGATAGCATCTTGATATGGAGCAGCCCAATAATGCATCTAAAGCAGTGGTTCTCAAGCTTCCTAATGCCGCGACCCTTTAATACAGTTCCTCATATTGTGGTGACCCCCAACCATAAAATTTTTTACCCAGTAATTATAGTTCATGAAGTGTCGTTTTACCTCCAATACTTCTGCTTTCAGCACAGTAGCTGCTTTCAGCACAGTAGCTGCTTTTAACAGAGTAGCTGCTTTCAACACAGCAGCTGCTTTCAACACAGTAGCTGCTTTCAGCACAGTAGCTGCTTTCTACACAGTAGCTGCTCTTTACACATCAGAAATATGTGTTTTCCGATGGTCTTAGGCGACCCCTGTGAAAGGGTCGTTTGACCCCCAAAGGGGTCGCGACCCACAGGTTGAGAACCACTGATCTAAAGGAAAGCACGCATAAACGCGTTTACAAGCATTTGCAACTCTACTCCTGAACGTGTTTTTTGTTCTTTCAAAAATATGCCTGTAACCTCAACTGCCTGTAAACTACTGTAAATGATTATGTGTACATGGACACATAGGAAAACATAAAGGAGAGTTCAGGGG